AAAGCAGCGCTTCGCGAGCGGCCTGCAGAGCAGCAGACACAGGGACATGGCACCACAGCCCAGGGCACAGCACCTGCATCCCTGGGCCAAGGCCAGCAGGAGGATGGAGCCTGCCAGGCCCCGGGGCCGGAGGCAGCCCAGCCCCTGCCACGGGCACCCCAGAGCCCACAAGTGCTCACCTCTGCCACGCTCTGGCTCTTGTCATGCCCGAGGATGAACAGTGGCACCAGGCTCTGGTGCACCTGCGTCTCCAAGGGCTGTGTTCCCTCTTCTGCCAGCAACTCCATCACCTCTTGGAAGAGGCGAATGGACAGCAGCTGCACATGGGTGTTGTCCTGATGCACAAGAGGAGAAAAAGACCTTAGCGCTGCCTGCTCCAGGCTCACCAGGCACAGGCCTGAAAATGCAAAGGCCACAGTTTCCTGGCAGCACCCAGTGCCTGTGGCTGGGGGGCACAGAGCCTTACATTGTCAAACAGTGGCCGAAGTGCTTCAGCCAGCCTGGGGGCAGTGGAGATGATTGCCCGAATGTCTTTGCCCCGGAGCACAGTCAGGATCACGGAGAGCGTCATCCCGACCAGCTCTCCATCTGCATGGTGCAGCAGCTCCAGGAGGCTTTCAGAACGGCTGGCGATGCTTTTGGCCTATGTGGAACACGGTGCTGTGCTGTCACGCCCTGAACAGCTGCCCCACCAACAGCTCTCTGGTGGTGCAACCCCACCCTGCTGCCCCAGAGGCCAAAGGCCTGTCCTACAGGGTGCAGGCAGCTGAACAGGGAGGCAGGAGAGCTGGGAGCAGCAGCCACAGGTCCCCAAGCCCAGCCAAGGCCAAGGGACTGTGTTCCCCAATGCCAGTGTGGCTTAAACCGGGTGTGCCCTTCTCACCTTTGAGGGATCCACGGCAAGCAGCAGGAGGCCTCTCAGAGCCAGGCGCTTCCTCTCTGGGCACTGGCTCTGCAGGTTCCTTGACAGGATCCGCAGGACCCTGTCACGGCTACTCCCATCCAGATAGTCGAGGCCCTGGAAGGCAGAGAGCAGTGATGGGTACCCGGGTGGCAGGAGCCCGGAGCCGCCCAGGGCTGTGCCCAGGCAGCAGCACAGGGCGCAGGCACCGTGTCGGCAGCGGCTGCCAGAGGGCAGAGAGGGGCAGGCAGTCGGGCCAGGCAGCGCTGGCCATCAGGCTCACCTCAACAAGCAGGGCCAGGGCAGGCAGCTCCCAACGAGGGTACACACTGCTGAGCATCCCCAGCAGGTGCATTGCCATGGGGCAATAAAGAGGGAGCAAGACGTGGTGCATCTCCCTGTCACGGGGAAAGAAGGAACCATGGACCCTGAGCAGGGTGGGCAAAGCTCTCCCAGCAGGCTGTGTGGGGTGTGCTGTGCCCAGGGCAGAGATGATGGAGGCAGCAGGGACAAGGGTGTCTCACCTGGCCAGCAGCCCCACTGCATAGTGCTGGGTGCCAGCACAGACTAGCGTGTCCCAGCCACGCTTGCGCTCCACTGACATCACCTCATTGTCCCACTGCAGGCGGCAGAGCAGGGCCTTGAGGGTCTGTACCAGAAACCTGTGTGCAGAGCAAAGCCCAGGTCATGCCGAGAGCCCTGGCCCCAGCCCTGAGGGCATGGGAGAGAGACAGGACTGGGATGAATCACCTGTTGGGGTGGCTGGGAAGGCGGTGTTGCTCCTGGCATCCCCTCCAGAAGGTGTTGACCTCCTCTGGCACCTGCTCTGTGCTCATGGACACTTGGAACAGCAGAGCGCAGAGCAGGTGGGGGACATAATCCATCACTGCATCCTGGCATTTGGGCTCCTGCAGGATCAGCCACAGTGCCAGGCTTGCCTGCAATACAACCATGCAGAGACAGCACTCAGTGTGACATGTCCATGTGGCTGGGCCCGAGCATGGGAGGGAGAAGCCAGGGCAGACCCAGGGAGAGCAGCTGGCCTGGTGTACCTGAACCTGCCCCTCAGCCACATTTCCAGCCCAGCGCCTGAGGCAGGGGGATGCAGTGGTGGGGAGGTGACCTGGGGAGGAGCAAAGGCCACTTTCAGAAACTCACAGCCAGAGCAAACACTTCTCTGTCGTCGCCATCGGAAGTGGACATGCTGTGTGCTGGCCAATCCTCCATCACTCGCAGCAGTGTCGGCAGCACCTTCTCCACTGCTGTTCTCGAGGAGGCAATGCTCTTCCACATCATGGCAGCAGCTCTGTGGAGACACAACTCTGGGTCAGGGGGATCTCAGGCACAGAGCTGTGGTCTGGGCAGCTGTGGGGGCCCAGGTGACAGAGCCACGGTGCCTTGAGGGACAAGGAGGGCACGTGGCAGCAGGATCGGGGGCTGACAGGCCAGGGCTGGGAAACGGATGGGCCAGAGGTCTCTGGAACTCTCCATCTCTCTGGCAAACCACATGGGACAGGCTCCACACAGTGATGGGTTCTAAGGGCTGGTGATGGTGGAGCCCCCCAGGCAGCTGGGCCCTGTACCTGTCACACTCTGGGGCACAGCGCAGCAGAGTCAGCACCACGTTACAGGGGTGTGCCTCAGCGAGCCTGTGGATGTTCGTGTGTGTCCTGACATTTGGAGGCCCGTGGGCGGTGAGGAACTGGTGGATGGACCTCACGATGGTGGGCACCTGGAGAGGCAGTGGGAGAGAGTTGGAGAGCTGCCAGAGTGAGCAGGTTGCCCAGCTTCTGAGAGACCATATTGAAGAAGGAGGAAAAAGTTACTGCACAGATGAAAATTGCAGCCAGGGAAGAAGATGTGAACTACAAGTGCTCACCTCTGCCACACACTGCTGCTCATCATACTCCAGGAAGAACCACAGCACTAAGGTCTGGTGCACGTCCATCAGCAAGGGCCGTGTTCCCCCTTCCACCAGTGACTCCATCACCGTGCGGAATTTGCGAAAGGACGACAGCTGCCCGTGGGTGCAAAAGAGGAGAAAAAGACCTCAGCATTGCCTGCTCCAGGCACACCAGGCACACCAGGCACAGGCCTGAAAATCCACAGGAAAGAAAGTCTTCAGGCAGCACCCAGTGCCTGTGGCTGGGGGGCACAGAGCCTTACATTCTCAAAGAGAGGCCGGAGAGCCTCAGCCAGCTTCGGGGTAGTGGAGAGGATCGCCTGAATGTCTTCTTCCCAGAGCTCGTTCACCAGCACAGAGAGGGTCACAACCATCACGTCTCCATCTGCATCAGGCAGCAGCTCCAGGAGGTGCTGAGACAGCCTGCAGATGCTTTCGGCCTGTGTGGAACACGGTGCTGTGCTGTCACGCCCTGAACTGCTGCCTTCCCAACAGCTCCCTGCTGGTGCAACCCCACCCTGCTGCCCCGGGGCCCAGAGGCCAAAGGCCTGTCCCACAGGGCCCCTGTAGCTGAACAGGGAGGCAGGAGAGCTGGGAGCATCAGCCACAGGTCCCAAAGCCCAGCCAAGGCCAAGGGACTGTGTTCGCCCACCCCAGGCTGCCCGTGTGGCTTCAGCTGGGTGTGCCCTTCTCACCATTGACAGATCCATCCAGAGCACCATGCGGCCTCTGAGAGCCAGGCGACGTCTCTCTGGGCACTGGCTCTGCAGGTGCCTGGACAGGATCTGCTGGACACTGCCGTGACATTCTCTCCCATCCAGATAGTCGAGGACCTGGAAGGCAGAGAGCAGTGATGGGTGCCCGGGTGGCAGGAGCCCAGAGCCACCCAGGGCTGTGCCCAGGCAGCAGCACAGGGCGCAGGCACCATCCCGGCAGCGGCTGCCAGAGGGCAGAGAGGGGCAGGCAGGCGGGCCAGGCAGCGCTGGCCATCAGGCTCACCTCAACAAGGAACTCCAGGGCAGGCAGCTCCCAACGGGGGTCCACACTGCTGAGCATCCCAAGCAGGTGGATTGCCAGGGGAGAATGGGAGGGGGTCAACTGGTGGCGCATCTCCCTGTCAGGGGCAAAACCATGGACCCTGAGCAGGGTGGGCAAAGCTCTCCCAGCACTCACTCACACACAGGCCTGGTCTTTCCCCAGCAGCCCAGAATGGGACGTGGGCACTTTGGCAGGTGGCTCCTTCTGTGCACCTGCCTCTCCCAGCCCTTTGCAATCTGCTCAGCCATCCCTTGGGGCCAAGGCCCTCTGGCCATCACCCACGAGGGCTGTGTGGGGTGCCCCATGCCCAGGGCAGAGATGATGGGGGCAGTGGGGACAAGGGTGGCTCACCTGACATGCAGACCCACTGCAGAGTGGTGGGGATCGGAATTCACCAGTGGGTCCCAGGCAAGCCTGCGCTTCCTTGCCATCAAAATATCCTCCCACTGCAGATGGCAGAGCAGGGCCTTGAGGGTCTGTACCAGAAACCTGTGTGCAGAGCAAAGCCAAAGTCATGCCGGGAGCCCTGGCCCCAGCCCCGAGGGCATGGGAGGGAGAGAGGACTGGGATGGAGCACCTGTTGGGGTGGCTGGGAAGGGGGTGACTCTGCTGGCATCTCCTCCAGAAGGTGTTCATCTCCTCTGGCACCTGCTCTGTGCTCATGGACACTTGGAAGAGCAGAGCCATGACCAGGCGGGGGACATAATTCTTCACTGCATCCTGGCACTTGGGCTCCTGCAGGATCAGCCACAGTGCCAGGCTTGCCTGCAATACAACCATGCAGAGACAGCGCTCAGTGCAACAGGTCCACGTGGCAGGGCCCAA